AGACAGACGGACAGACAGCCGGAAACGGGAGAGCTATTTCTTCGTCCTCTAGGGCTCATGAAAGGTCGAGAAAATGTAAAAGTAGAGAGTCGTCCGCCGGACTCGATTACAATACTTCCTTTGCTTACGCTTGGGAAGTAGAAATGGAACGAGAAGAATGGGACAGACACAGTGGAAACCAAACAAGTCGAATTTAAAAATTCAGTAGAACAATATGGTTGAAGAAACCATCTATACAATTGAAAAGAAAGGTAGAGCAACTAGTCAACGGAGAACACGAAAAAACAAACCGAGTAAAAGTCTAGAAAAACAAGGTGAGGTGTGGATCTTACTCGACCACGAAACTAAAACACAATGGAAATGGGACCTGACATTCGATGGACGCACCCACCATATAATCTTGTTACAAATTATGGATGTTAGAGTGGACGTGGGTTACACTCAACAATTTATTTCTCAATAATATAAAATCACATGATCTATACAGCAAAAATGTAACACTGAATAATTCCAACTCAATTTGAGTTGTACTTATTTAAACAACCACGCGTTCTTTCTGGAGAGTTCGAAATCGCTGCTTCGAGACTTCCGGTGAACCGCGTCTAGGTTTTTCTTATCCGACGTCGGCGATGATGAGTCACCGGTCATCGCGGCAACGTACTAGAAAACCGTAGACGCCGTACCGGAGCGGACCATGGCTTTACTTCGTACGTTCATAGCAATATCAAAGACGGCTTTTACCAACAGTTATCCGAAATAGTACCCAAAATTATAATGATAGGTGATTTCGAGGCAAATGAAATGAAACCAATAAAGGCATTGAAAAAGTTTTGTACAAATATGTAGCGGAAGAACGAAGGAAAAAGACTAACAGAACTTTGGCTAGAAGAGTATTTAATTATAGGGGAAACAATATTCGCACATAAATATACCATGAAGTAACATAACATGGGTTTCACATGGCTAACGGACCCAGAACCAGACTGATCGTATAATGTTGAGTTGTTGAGCAACCAAGGGAGAGGAAGTCTACTGAGCGTATTAAAAAATAAAAATTCAATCTACAAAATCTACACGACGATAAAATTAGAGAAGAATGGGAAAATCGATTAGAACAAAGAGAAAAGAAACTAGAACTTGAAAACATGAGAAGGCGAATACATCAATCAGCAAAAGAAATATAAGGATATAAAAAAAAAAGAATGCAAAGTAAAAAGAAGATCTATAAGCCAATAAAGGAATAAAATGGCGAAGAAAAGGGTATGGACTATAAACGGGCATGGACTGGTAAGACGGACAGTTAATTCTAGACAACACCAGTCTAAATGTCTAAACTGATAAGAAATAAAAAAACAACAAACCACTATGTAGTAAAGAAGGACTACTTTTAACGGCGGAAGAACAGGCAAAACGATGGTAGGAATTTTAACAAGAACTTCTAAAAGACAAACAAAATAAAATAAATACAAGTAGAGGCGAACAAGAATCACAATATCAAGTGGACATCAAGGAAAACAAACGTAGAAAAAACTACAGAAAAAATATAACCCGTATTAATAAGTATATGTGAAGAAGAAGAGCTTTCGAGTGGAACAAGAGAACAAGATCTTAAGATGGACAGTTACTTAAGGCAAGACCAGCCAGGGTTCAGATCTGGAAAATCTTGCATAGATTAGATAGCGATGGCAAGAATCATAATTCATAATACAGGAAATCAAAGTGAGAAATCAAAAACTGATAATGATTTTATTGATTTTACGAAAACTTTGGACTTATAAAGTACTATGGAGAATTCTATCAATTAGGGGCATTCCCCAAGAAATTATACGCCTACTGTAAATGATGTACGATAACACGGTCTACGAAATAAAAAAAGGCGTTAAGCAAGGTTGTATCCTATCCCCGTTATTATTTAATATATGTCTTGATCACATCCTAACTAAGATAATAGGAAGAAAGAATGGAACAGTCTCGAAACATCTTCAGTACAAAAAATTGGCTGTAAGCATAATAAAGTTTGACATCAACAAATTTAAAAGGCATGTCATAGTTATTTTGATGGTTTTGACAATAAAATCTAAAAGTTTTATGCAACTAAGCCTATTTGTATTATGAACCACTAAATTTCAATACTTTTAAAATTTGGAGTATCAACTTGTTCAGCAATTTTGAGATGTACAAAACTCCTCGTCTCTTTACTAAATACCATGAATGAAGCATTTTTTGTTGTGGTAACTGGTATTTCTTGTAGCTATGGAATAAAAATCACCGTTCTAAGGAACTTGGAATTTTTTATTTTGTCGTTCCTCGACTTAGAAATTTTCTCTGTTGTTTAGAGTTTCAATTTGGATTATAATAAAATTTGCAGAATGGTAACGTAAAGCTGAAATTTTAAGTAATAACAGGCCAATAGTTTACCTACAAGAGAAAACTAAGAATAATTTTTTGATATAGGAAAGAAAGGTCGAGTGTGAAAAAGCTATGCGTGCAGAAAAGCTCAATTTATTGAGTGTCTGTGACTTTAATTTTCCATCAGCTATACGTTTACATTTTTACTTATTTTAAATGTAGTTTTCTGATCTGTTCTAGGTCGTTTAAATGGTTTTATGTCCACTACCGAAACTAGTACTTTCGCCATAGTTTGCCTTGTTTGAAGATGACGAATTAAGTGACTTTCGATTTTTGTTTTATCACATAATGGCGTTGTTTTAAATTGTAATTACTACGCAAATCATAAATAAAGCCTATATAATACAACAATAAAAACTGTAATTAAATTGTATTAAATATTGTCTAATGACCTAGCTGTCGATCAAATCTACAAATAATAATAAAAAAAATGTCTATATTTTTTATTTAACTCAAAGAATGTAGGCGCAGAAAAAGTATAGTGTGCAACACGTGCGAAAGTGCTCTGACACGTTCGTGTTGATACAACTTCAACACTGCGTGTAAGATGCAACTTTCGATATTTATTACACAATAATATATTGGTTCCTGTAGTGATTTTTTTAAAGGTAGAATTCTAGGCATCTGTGAATATTTCAGTAGTAAATTGTTAAACTATTAGCGTCCTGTGACAATTATTTTACCACCTTATTAGAAAGCTTCGCCCACGGAATTTTTGACGGAGAACATATTGTATGCTTTATTTTTACCATTCTATACTTTAGCCAAAGTTTACTTTAGGGGTTTAAAATATGAGATCCACGGTTCGCCAGATGTTATAATTTGTTCCCAGGAGCTGTTATCACATTGGTTTTAATTAACACCAGCAGAAAACAAATTTCTACGTTGCTTGCACTTTCCTCAGAATATAAAAATCATGCCGTTTTTTATACTGGAGCTTCAGTCATTCCGAGATAAATAACAATAATCTCATGGGACTTATACCAGTCATCAAAAAATTCTGCGGGCAGCAACATCTTTCGCGTTAACCCCAGTTTTTGGCTTTGTCCACATTCATTATGGTATTTTCACGGAACGAAATTTTAACCAAATAGGATTTACTAGAAAATGTCTACTGCACAAATAGAAAAATAAAACTATGCCATTTTGAATAAGTTATTTGATTATCAAGGGAGCAAAGTGTATCATGTACTCTCACAGGTCATCTTTAAGCCCGAGAGCAAGCGAGGATAATAAATCACACAAGCGAAGGACGTGACTATATGCTGAAGAGGTACACACAATTGTTTTTACTACCTCCTTTTTATTACTTAAAGCACAATTAAAGTTAAACTAAAAATTTGATCATGTTCTCCCTGTTTGTGCATGGTGTTTGTCAGTTATAAAAAAATAAATATTATCTAGGTACGAAACATTTTGTTAAAGTTTATTACAAATTCCTTCCGTAAAAGTAAAAAATAATTTTACTCCTTCGAAAGAAGTTTGCGCCCTAAAATGTAGAACAACATGTATATTATATCTACTACTGGGAAACTACAGAACTAGGAAATATGTGGTTACATGGAGACGTCTACTTTAAAATATGTATAAGTTTGAAAAGCACAAGGAATGTTTAGTGTGGAATTAACAAATCGCTATAATTATTCCGGCATTTACCTTTGTAGGAAGTCAACATTATAGTCAATGACTGAGTCACATACAAGTGTCCCTAATTAGTTCTGTTACTAATTGACCATTGAGTCAACAAAAACATTGATGTTGTTATGTTAAAGTTTGTTATAGTTTTTACTGTATTGTTGGAACAATGTGTGTAATCGATATCTACATTTTTAAAATAAAGCCTATTTCTATTTAAAAGGCCTACAGTACAACAAGTAACAATGTAGGTTAAAAAATCAAAGTGTAGTCATAAACCACAAGTACAGGAGTATGTTATTTTATAAAATTGTTGCAATATTTCCTAAACTTACCGTCGGGAAGTAAGAATGTTTAAGTTCTCTGAATATATATTTTTTTAACTTTATTTAATTTAACTTAATTTTGCTGTGCTGTTCATAAATATTTTTCAGTTTTGAGAATTAGGTTGGTCGAAATGATTACCACATTTCTGTAAGCTTGATAAACCCTCTCTTGATTATTAATACACAAATATTTAAACCAGAATCTGAATCCGTTTTAGCCCCGTTATAAATTTAATGCATACAAATGCGTAAAGGTGTTACGAGTATTGCGAGCCTAATTGTTATGCATATAAAAATGGAGAGTTATAAAAATTGTTATGTAATACGTGAAACGTGCACAGATAAAGCTTTATGAAGCAACCCTCGCCTCTTCATAAGAAGAGGTGTAAAAGCTTACATTTTGTAGCCTCGCAAATGAGAAGCAGCAGCAATAAACCTATAAATCGCGTTTTATGGTTTTATAGTCTCCTACGCGGGAACTAGATTGAGTAGAGTGAACCCTCGCTTAACCAAGGTATTCTTGTCAAATCACGACGGCTCTGCATCCTCATGCGAATTTGATAAAATATCAGTTTGGAGTGATAAAATGTCGATCCTAAAAATCCCACCTTTCACAACGAAATTTTTCAGGTCCAACCGCAGCATGATTAGAAGCTTGCCGTACGAGGTGATTAACTTATCATGACTGACCACATCTACCGATGGCTGATTTGTACAGTTACAAAATGAAGTTATTCATAGCCGGTTGTGTTTTTCTAGCGTACTTCGTACACGCACTGGTGGCACGTCAGAAAGGTAAAAGAATTCAGGTTCTTGATTGCGGCAACCGAGCGGTGCTTTTTGCAGGTTGTTCCTTTTCGGTGCATGGCCAAAGTGAGAGGAATGCGCCGATTTTATTGCAAAAGGACATGTCTTTAGTGGTGCCCAATAATGGTCGAGTCGAGCTGGGCAGTTGGGAGAAGATAACAGTGGCCTGTCCAGATCCCAAGAATTATTTAATCGGATGTAAGTAAAGCAGGATTTATAACTTTTGGAGTGACACTGCAGAAAAATCTGAAATGTTCTAAAATTTATGAGCGATATTAACTTTTTTTTGTATGACAGGACTGATGAGGTAAGTGTGGTGTCATATGTCAGAAAACATTTTAGGGTCATAAAACCGTTTATTGTTTTCACAGTTGTTAATTTTTAGTGGTCACGATAAACTAATTTTAAATAATATTGTTTGTTTTTACTTAAAAATTTTCGACACTCATAATTCATAAGAAAAATATTAGTGTCATTCAATTAAATTTAAAGGAACATTATCATGAAGTGAGATATTGATGTCCTGCAAAAAAAAATGTCATGTGGTGTTACAATTGTTCCCTAATTTCTTGTGTCATCAAGGATATTTCGATACAATTTTTAGGATATGATGATTCAACTTGACAGATAAGTGACATGGTACTGTCAACATAAATTGTTACCACATTGACTTGAGGTTAAATTAAAAATCTTGTGTCCTTGAGCATAGTTTGTAATACGCACATTTCCTGAAGATTTTGACATAATTGTGTTAAATATTTGTTACTAATTTTTATTTATGATTAGATTCGTTTTTTCCGGTCTAATCGCAATACTTATTTTTAAAATGAAATTATGAGACCTCAGTCACTTATGAGTTCACCTGTATAAGTGACAATAAAAAAAACAAGATACAACACTGTTTTTGAAATATAATGTCGTCTGCCTTGCCTTTCTAAATTGTCGTTTAGTTGGTCTTACTTAAACTTGATCAAACTTTTCACTGATGGTGGTAACAATCTTAACCATAAGTAACCTAAGCTCATATGATTGACGGATTTTTCATAACGGAATTTTCGAAGGTAAGTTGAAATGATTGCCTAACTTCCAAAATTTTGTTTTAATTTTTTGACGATCTAAAAATAATGTAGGCGAAAATTAAAGATTGGCCTGACTTAAGACCGGAGAAAATAAGCTTAAGAATGACTAAGATATTGTCTGTAATTTACAAAGACCTCGTAGCTGTTTGTTTTCAAAATATCTTTGTAATGACCAAATACGAAATCTTATTGAGTCATCTTCTGGCAGAAGAAAACCAGCTGAAATTTTTGATGACTTTGTATTTAAAAAATGCCCGAAAGTTATTTCGACAGAACTTCCCTCGCCCTTGAAATATTATAAGAAGCACGCAAAAATCTTTCTTTTTTTAACTTCGGCCTGCTGTGGGTTTTTAGGGATTTATTACTTGGAAAATTTCTGGAAAAACTGATAGGAATACCATTTTTCCAGAATTGAGGAAATTAAGTAAGGTGCATTTTAAGATATTTAACAATTTGACTTTAAACCCGAATATTTCGAAACAAATCTTCTTGTCGAATTTGGATTCAATATTTACCCTTTTCTGGCTATCCAATTTTTCCGTAGTCGCGTTGGATAATTCATTTAACAAAAATGCTTCGATTGGTGTAGAATTTTTCGATTTTCGTTTTCGTCTGCAATCTTGGTCTGGACCATCGGAAACTGTTGTGCTGAACGTCGAAAATCATCTGTCATAATTTTTTGTTAATTTTTCGACAACTTCGTGCAAAGTTAAATTTTGTAACTTCTGGAAAAAAAATTGCAATTTTCGAGCAAATTCGATAATCACCAAAGTTATTTTGTTAATTTTGACCTCCACAAGCTTCTTATGGTTTTATTGCAACGCCAAAATGAAATATGGTAAATTTTAAGATATTTTGAAAATTGGAATTTGAACTCAAATATTTTTAGTCATTTGGAGTGTTTTTCTTTTGTTACTTGGTATAATAATGATTTTTGATGATATTTAACATCAGTGGTTAGGCTTCTGAAAGAATTCATAACCTTAAATAGCTGACTACCCAAGTAGATATAAAGAATATCAGTTCTTCTCACGAAACTTTAGGATATTAAGGTTAATTACCAACCAACTTACTAGATCTCCATGGCTTGCTGGGGTGTAAACATTTCGTGAATGCAATACATATATCTCTTTTTGATTTTTGAAAAATTGGGATTATCGATCTTAAATTGATCACTTTAATATAATTGTCATAAAAGTCAACTGCATTGCTTGTCTTTGTTTAAAAACCTAACCCCCTCCGAGGTTTTGTTTTTTCTAACGCAGAAAGTGGAAGTAAAACATTTCTCGGTCAGATGTACAAGATGAGTGTTCTACTTCAGCTCATTAGCTCCAAGGGCACTCCCAGCAACTTAATGGATTTTTTCTGCAGCTGTTATGCTAAATTTTGTTACCAACGCTGTAGTTTGGTCATAAAGGAAGTATGTGGAACCTTAACTAAATCATTAATAAATATTGTAAAGACAAGGGGCCCTATAATAGAATCTTGCGGAACACCTTTATTTAATTGTTTGCTTCCCGATTATGTGCTACTCCACTATACTTCTTGTAAATTTGTTCTTCAAGGATGATCCTAACGTTTCCAGTTGCTTCCCTCGAAAACCGTAGTATACCGTAAAAATAGTGTCGTTAGCATAGTACATTCCTTTCTGTCTATCGCCTCTGGTATGTACCTTTACCAAAGTTGTTATTGTCGATTTGCCTTCCATGTATCCATGTTGGCTGCTATTCCAGAGCGCTTTGGTTTATTTGTTTCGAAAGTTCTTCGAATATTTTGCAAAAAACTGGTAAAATTGAAATTGGCCTTTAGCCCGATTGCGCATATAAAATACGGTTTATAAACAGTAAAAATGTGTTTAAAAATTGTGTTATGAAAGATGTGCTATAATCATAACGACGTTTTAAAAGTTGTGTAGAACTCCAGTTATATTTAGTACATTTTCTGACAACGTACCTATCCAATTGTTTTCAGGACTTTTTCCTTACATTCTTCATTTAGCGTTAAAAACGTGCAGATATCCGTGCAGATGAAAATAGTCGAAATATTCATATTTTACTTTTAATTAAGTATTTCAATATTATTTATTACGCAGTTTATTGATGAAGTGTTAAAGTTGGTGATTAAGAATTTTAGACCCATAATGGTTTTATCAAACTTTGCCAAGTTATCTAAATTAATTTTATCGAATGCCACACATATTTGTTATTAGCATGTTATAAATTATGTTATAATGTAATGCTTGAATACTGTGGAACTTATTTGTAGGAGCGTACACAGTTTGTCACCAAGTTTAAATTGTTAATATTTGGAAATAAATAGCTATTATGATAAGTACTGCTTTAGCAATACGTTTGACCAGGTGAATAATTCTGTAATTTTTATTTTTACTGACATTAGTGCGCACAGGACGAGAAGAATATAACTATGATCAACTGAATTTCCTTCGAATTTGTTATTCTAAAGAGACGAGTTTGTCAAGACTTTAGTGTGCTTTCATTGCTAGTTTTTTTTTGAGTGATGTAAAATATCTGAACTACCAAAATTTTGTTTGTCTATATAGTGTGTATACTACGTACGGTGAGAGATTGAGTTACAGAAAAGTCACTAAATATCTACGCGAAGAAAAGTGTACCATCCGCGCGAAATTTGAAATTTCAAAATGAATCTAATCTCAAGCGCCATGAAAAATAAGTTTTACGTTACTCGAGAATTTTTGTAGTGAGTTTCGTTTAGGAGCCATAACTTTACGATACGAAAATGAATTCCATCGAGTTGATGTTTTTTGCTACAAAAATGTCTCTTAATAACAGAAAACGATGTCGATTATTATTATACCTTTGATTCTCCTGAAAATTACTTGAAATATCTCCTAAAACCGTTGCCAAGTTGCCGTTGATGGTCAACTTTTGCCGCATTTAAAGGGGTTGTAGAAAAAAAGTGGAGGATTACTTTTTTCTTGTTGTCGAAATAAGGCTACACATATTAAGAAAAAAATAAGGCAAAATGTAGCCCCACCCCACCAAAGATTAGGCCCCACCCATAGCGCCCCGATCTCAATTCTCAAATGTGATGAATTTTTCATTTGTTGTCAGTTCAAGATTCTGTCTACAAGAATTTTATGTTTGTTGTATGAATGTTTTAAGTTTCTCGTTCTGAAAATATATTAAGAAAAAAGGCAAAATATAAGCCCCCCCCACCCGGCCTGTCTTAATTGTGATGTTTTTTTTTGATCGTCGAGAGCCAAAGGAATTTAATTGCAAAACCCTTATTATCTTCTACAAGAAATGACCATTTAAATAATGTTTTTTAGTATCGTGTTATTCAAAGAATACTATGTACATATATTAAGAAAAAATTAAAGCCAAAGATTAAACCCCACCCACATCGGCCCTGATCTAAATAGTAATGAAGTTTTCATTCGTTGGCGCATTTTCTTATAAAAAAATTACCATTTTAAACGCATTTTAAGTTTCTAAGAATAAAAAAAATCATCACAATTGAGATGGGGTTGGTGGGCGGGGTTTATTTTTTTGCCTTTTTTTTTTAATATACATAGTATTCTTTGAACAACACAATACTTAAAAACATGTTTTTAATTTCTTGTAAAGAAATGAGTATTTTATAGTTAAGCTCCGTCCCCTTGGTTCACGGTGAATAAAAAAAAACATCAGAAATGAGATAGGGCGGGTGGATGGGCTTACATTTTGCCTTTTTGTTTCAATATGTGTAGACTTATTTTCACAACATGAAACTTAAAACATGTTTAAACTGGAAAATTTGTATAAAGAAATATCGATTTTGCAATTAGGTTCCGACCCATAGGTAATTACAAAATCCATATTTTCTTGCAAAAATGTACCATTTTAACCATGTTCTAAGTTTCTTGATGTGAAAAACGGCTATGTATATTTAAAAAAAAAGGCAAATTATAAGCCCCGCCCACCCGCCCAGCTCAATTCTGATGATTTTTTTTATTCGTCGCAAACCGAGGGGAGGAGCTTAATTGTAAAATACTTACTTTTCTACCAGAAACTACCATGTGAAATTGTTCTTAAGTAATCGTGTTATACAAAGAAAACTAAGACCCGGTTCATAGAATGCGAAATTAATGTTAATTCGCGATTAACTTTTAATTGAGGTCTGTTCATAGGCAACGGGCTTATATTCCTCATTTGAATCCTGTGCTAAATTAATCGAGGATTAAATATTTAATTCGCTTTTCTATAAACCGGCCCTAGATGTGTTAATTAAAAAAAAACCAAAACAGAAGCCCCACCCATCCGTCTCGATCTCAATCCTTATGAATTTTTCTATGGTTGTCAGACCGAGGGGCGGAGCGTAATTGCAAAATCGATATTTCCCTATACAAATTTATCATTTTAAACATGTTTTAAGTGTCTTGTGGTGAAAAGATGACTACACATATTAAGGAAAAAACGCAACCTCAGTAATGGAACTTCAGTAGTTTTACATTTGTACCATCGGGGACATGAAGAACTTGGCAGAGGTGGCGTACAATTGTCAAGATTTCTAAACCAGACCTTAGCTACTCATAACCACGCTTTTAATGTTTGACGTATTTGTCATTTTGACACTGACAAAATATCAATGATATTGACGCTACATTGACATTTTTTGAAATGACAAGAACATGCTGCCCAGAATTCCATGTCGCTCATAGTAACAGAGACAGTGACAGCGTAGGAATTTCAGCGCATTTTGTAGTCTTAATTTGCTGCCAACTTATATGTCAACTGTCAAGAAATCTCAATCTCTCACCTAAAATGTCTCTATGCTAAACTTTATGACTGATTAAAATGTTAAAAATGCAGTCAGTCAAGCATTAAATAGTTTAAATAAAACCGGTAAAGTTACTTACATTTATTGCTTTTCACATTCATTGCTTTCAATTCCTTGACAAATGTTGACAGTTGACATTTCGGTAAGGTAATATATTACCCTACCGATTTTACATACAGGATACAGTTATGGCAGACAACTTTTATAAATGTAAACAGGCATTTAATAGACAGAAACCGGTAAAGGCATTTTAATGATTAAATTAAAATTGTGTTGTCAAAAATGATAAGCACAAATTAATAATCTGCGGCAAAAAGTGGTAGCGGAATTGAAAGTAGAAGGCTAAGTCTATTTTCATTGCAAAAAAATTTCTTGGTTTTCACCGTAACAAAATTTAACATGAGGTCTAAAATTTAACATGGGATCCTATGGTCGCTTGTAAAAAAGATGCACTGCACATATATTTTACGACATTTGAATTTAAAAATTAAATCTAACTTATATTGTTTTTGGTAGAACTTTTGGTATATGTTAATTTGTAGTTGTTTATGGATTGCTTCAACTGTATGAGTTATGGTTATACATGTTCTAAAATTCACGATTAAATTACAAATAAAGTGCGCAAAAGACGGTTCAAAAATAAATGTAAAAGAATGGCGTTAAAATATTTACAGTAGTAAAAAAAGACGTTCAAGTGATGATAGACAAAATCCTAATGTTTATAAATTGTAAAAATCACAGTATTAAAACAATGATAATGCTTAGGGTTCTGGAAGTTACGAATGGTTTCACATCCGGTCCGTTTAAACTGTCTGTTTTATTAATACCATCATGCAGTTTCCCATTTTCTTGGCAGACGCTGAAGATTAGTTCTCTTTAAGAGATAAATGAATTCAATGAGTGTACGACAACAGTGCTTAAAATTTAATCAAGGGAAGTACTGTTAAACATTTGTTTAAGAAAGGCAACTTCGATTTTAGTCTAACTACATATTAATGACCACTCATATAAGGAGTTAAAACCCAAACATTGGTTGGTGACTGTGCGTATTTTAAGACATTTTTTCAACAAGGCAACTGTTTTGAGCAGTAGATTTACTCTGCATGCACGATTCCTAGGTCACAGTAGCAGTTTAATTAAAAATTTGAAAAAAAAAAAATAGTTGTTTGACATCTATCTACCTGTTACTTATTGACTTCCAAAGCTGTGGCTTCATAGTATTTGAATTGACTTTTATTTGCTTTTTTCGAATTAGTTTTTACGACATGTCTTGCTGTTTTCTCCTTAGTTCAGTCAAACATGACGCAAGCACAATGTGTGCAAGGCAGCATTCTCCGCATGGGAAACCACGACGTGAATTTCACCCATTTCCTCGGCGATTTCCACTGCAAGAAGATAGTCAGGGGGACGGTATCCAAGACTACGAAAAAATGTGGAGGCAATAAGGGTCACATTTACAAAATTGGTTATCCTATATCTCCGGGGCTCTTCATTAAAGTGATCGAAGTCTGCTACGACGCCTCCGCAGGACAAACCTTGTACACGAAACACTCACTACACGGGCAAGACATTAAACGTAAGTTGTCTGAGTTTTCCAAGACAATATTTTGATTTTCGTCGTTTTCAGACGCTTCCAAATCGAGTTATCGCCCCGGTTTCAGTCCTGAAGGTTCTGCTGTTTCCGTTTCCATCGCGTATAAACAAACGTTCCAAAAAGCTACTTTCAGTAAATTATTAAAATCAGCTTTACTCGCTGAAGAGTACATTAACAAAAAGTCTTATCTGGTACGCGGACACCTGTCGCCGGATGCGGATTTCCTTTTTGCGGCTACGCAATTCACGACTCACTACTATATAAACGTGAGTCCGCAATGGCAGGCGATTAATGCGGCTAACTGGAAGAAGATTGAATACCTTGTTCGAAAGTTTGCAGATGGTGTTAAGAAAAGCTTCATGGTAATAACAGGGACGTATGGGGTTTTGACTGTTCCTGATGCTAAGGGTCAAGATGTTGAAATTTTTCTTGTTTCTGGTAGGAAATTACCAGTGGCTAAGTTTGTGTGGAAAATTGTATATTCGACACAAAGTAAAGATGCTATTGTGTTTGTTAATTTGAATAACCCGTTTATTGGAGGCCTAGAAACTAAGGATATATTGTGTAAGGATATTTGTAAGGAATTCGGATGGGGAGCTGCGTCTTGGTCAGACTTTGGACGTGGTTTTGTGTATTGTTGTGATTACAAGCAGTTTGCTGCTGCGGTTGAAACTGCACCTAAACTTCAAGTTCTGGGTATTCTCCGAGGGCCAAACTAGTTAATTTGTGTATATTTTAGAAAATGACTGGTCAGGTTTTTGTTACTAACAGCATATAGTACTTGTGTTGTTAATGAGTTAAGGACGTAATAAATTATTCTACCTCATCTAAATTTTTACTGTAACGAATATTTTTTTTCAGATCTGTTAAACCCTTTTCAGCAAAAATATCATTTTATGTGTAAATTAAAATTTTGTGGTTACGCTTGTGTAAGAATTATTAATAAAATTTATAATTACTTTATTTGCTGTTCGTTGGACCAAATTTAATCAACGTTTAGTTAATTTTGTGCCCGTGGATTACCACAACCAACAGATCTTGTGCTGGATGTTTTAAACTTGAACAAAATCTACTTGTTGTAGTATGAATAAACTGATAATAATATCTTCTGGATTAAGAATCCAGAACAAAGTAAATGTAAGCTCGTGTCTCAAAAACATATATCAAGCATCAGTTAATCCAAACCACTGATGGTTGTTGTACAATCATGTATAAATACTGTCAAAATAATAATTTGCAGTTATTCGATATAACCACAATTGTTATAAGTTGCTGGTTTTTGGGTGGTTCAGTGTATCTGAGAAATTTAAAATAAGTTAGAACTAACACTGAACACGTCAAACAACTTAAATACCTGGGGCACAATTCTGTAGCCAAGACAGAACTTTAATCAGGACATTCTGGTGACGAGCTTTAAAAGTTCAAGATTACCACTTTGTAAATAAATATACAATTTTTGCCAAGATGTCTTTCTACTTTTTGCATTACATAAAATATGTGAACAAAGTATAAAATCACGAAAGTGTGGCGGAACTTTAATTTTTCTTTCCAGGTCTAATGACGTTAGTAGAAATAAATTTCACGCCAAAAAGAATGTTTTCAAAACAGGATGCAAATTAAAAAAAAAAAATTGTAAAAATGCGAATGCCCTGAAACCTTACAAACGTAAGGATAGTTAATCAAAATTTATTCGAAATAATTCCTACTTAGGTAAATATCATATTTTTCAAAATTTAAATTTATTTCATTGATTAAGTCAAGAACGGTTCAGTCCATTTTACTAAAAATTTGAGAATGGAATTGTTATTATTATTATTACACTACACCTATCGAAATTGATACAAGTATCCTTGAAAACAATCGTGATAAGGTCATCACAAATTTTTTTATTGGGCAAACTCACTTGAAATATACGCATAACATGTTTTATACCTTCATCTTAACACAACGCACGTATGTATCTTTGTTTTAATTTTTGGGAGTTATCACCAAAACAAACAAAAATATCAAAATTAAATTTTATAATTTTTCGAAAAAGTTGGATATGTTATACTTCAGGGTTGATTGAAGTTCTGTCTAAATAACTTTGGACCCATTTTTTTCTATTCCTCGTTGTTAAATTTTTAATTAGTTAAGACTTTAACTACAAAATTAATGATCTAAAATTTTCAAAGTAGGGTGTCCGTCCTTCACAGAGCGTGGCCTTTGTCGTTCATAAAGTAGAAGTTCATCTACACTGATAACACAAAATTTGAAAAGTGGGTTAAAGGTTATGTGACAGAACTTTCCTCATCCTTCAACTACAGCCCAATAAATTTAGGTTCTTTGAAAAATTATAAAATTTGATTTTGCGAAATATATGATAACCTCTATATATTAAAAATAGAGAAATGACAACAGTCACAGTGTAAGAAAAAAGGCCCATGAGAAAATCAAACATATAAAACTTGGGTCCTGTAGTTTCGGAGACAACAGTGAAACGGAAACCGATGTCCATATTTTTTACAACTCTTGGGGTCATGAAAGGTCGAAACAACAGCTCCCCATCCAAAATAATTTTTGGACCATTTTGCTGTACTAATCAGTCCACTCCTCTGGTTTAAGGAGACAAAATCAATCAAATTTCATTTTATTTTATTTTAAGCGACCGCTGATGCGTGATAAACAGAAATACTTGAAGTTAACCATTGAACCAAGTGTTCATTTTCTCGTTGGTTATCTGGTTATATATATTTTGTATTCATCGCACACGTGCGGAATCCGGTACCTTACAATTGGTTTTTACTTTATAGGAACTATCACAAATGAAAGATCGCAAAATCAAATTTCATAATTTTTCAAGCCCGTTTTAGAATTAAATTTTCCAGAGTTTTTCGATTCTTGATTTATCCCATTTTTGTTTCCATATTAATACCTGCTCTGGCGTCCAAATTTTAACATATTCTTCTATTTTTAATTAAAATACTTATTTCACAAATAAGATAAATACAATTTAATACGGGAGTAATAAAAGATAATCCTTTTTACTTTCCGAGCGTAAGGAAAGGAAGTATTGTTATCGAGTCCGTCGGCCGACTCTCTACTTTTACATTTTCTCGATCTTTCATGACCCCTAGAAGACGAAGAAATAGGGCTCCCATTTCCGTCTGTCTGTCCGTCTGTCCGTCTGTCAGCCGTCCCGGATTTTTATTAGACAGATAATCTCCGAAAGTACTAGACCGATTGTTGTGAAATTTTGTACTTATATTAGGAACATCATGTAGATGGTAAAACGCTAACCAGAATTTGTCTAATCATCCCCACCACTAATGCGATGACGTCACTTCAGAATTGTACATAGTAAATAGGTTTTAAATTGTATAAAATAACATAGTCCTACACATGTAGTTTACGACTCCGAATTGACTTTTTGCCCGAAACGTCCAGATTTTTGGAAAAAAAATCAATATTATAAAACAACATTTTGCAATTTAATTTTGAATCTGCTAACCCGAATGTTTTGAAATGTCGCAGATGTTTTAAGGCTATAAAGAGCATCATAAATCTTTAGTCAAAATATATTTGGCTATCCCCTCCAAAAACCTGATGACGTCAGCTCAAAAGTTTGCCGAATAAATCCTATCTAAAATGTACAAAATATAATGAGTCGGTGCTTGTGATATATCACTCCATTCATATTTTTTGGATTTGCATATACAGGTGACTCAAAAAAATTAATGAATGCGTAAATGTATTTTACTGATTTACTCAGGAACTACAAAACCGAATGCTTTGAAATCTTGAAGATGTTTTAAAATTATCATAAGCATCGTAAATTTTTGATCAAAATGTATTTGGTAGTCCTCCCTAAAAAAATTTATGACGTCACCACAAAATTTTGTTGAATAAATTCTATATTAAATGTACAAAATATGGTGAGTCTCTTCTTGTGATTTATCATTCCATTCATATTTTTTGTATATGCATATACAGGGTGACCCAAAAAAATTAATGAATGCGTAAATGTATTTTATTGATTTAATCAGGAGCTACACAACCGAATGTTTTGAAATCTTGCAGATATTTTAAGGTTATAAAGAGTATAATAAATGTTTAGTCAAAATATATTTGGTTATCTTCTCCAAAAAACTGATGACGTCAGCTCAAAAGTTTGCCGAATAAATTCTATCTAGAATATACAAAATATGATGAGTCTGTACCATTCATATTATATTTTTTGAATTTGCATATACCAGGTGACTCAAAAAAAAAATGAATGCGTAAATTTATTTTATTGGTTTACTCAGGAACTACAAAACCGAATGCTTCGAAATCTACTGCGAAAAAAAAAACATAATAGACATGCAGTCGTCACGTTTCCGACAGCGAGGGAAGTACTGTCTAAACTCTTTAGACCAATTTTTTATTATTTAAGTTAACTGAAGGAAATTTATTGTCTATTTTTCTCTCTCTCTCTCTCTCTCTCTCTCTCTCTCATTATTATTCCTTTGCCACTGAAATAGAACAAAACATACCTAGCTTATAAGAATTCCTGTAAGTTAAAATAAAGATATTGTTACGATGTCGGGTAATTTAAAATCGGCGTGGGTAAAACTCAATAATCTATTTCTTCGTAACTCAAATTTACACGACTAATCACATAGCGATTATGTACAGAATAATTCCGACTCGACTGGAATGGATTTGACTTGACTCTACGTCTCCCATTGTCTGGACTACTCTGACTGTTCCCGACGGTGGTTCCTATTTAAATAGCACGCGGTCCTTCTCCAAAGGTCGCCGTTACCACTTCTAGGTTTGTTCTGGACCACCCATCGCGACTTCGACTTCCAGCTTCTGCTGTCGCTGTCACCGATGATGAGTCACCTATCATCGCCGCACATACTAGAAAACCCATAGGCGTCGTACAGGGGCGGCCTATGGGTTTATTTCGTAACAGTATCTATGCAGTAATAAAGTAAATGTAAAAAAGATGTTACGTATATGTTTGAAGTAAGTTTTTCCATTACAAAAGTTTGTGATAACATGTTTGAAAACAAGCGTCATATACGATAGGCCACTGTAACCTTGTAGCAACATCGATTATATATACTATGTATGAAAATTTGGATGCCTCGGGAAAATATGTAGACAATTTCATAAAGAACAAGTGTAGAAGTATGTTATTTTATAGGGGAGTAAAATTTGAGCTCTACTATAATAAAATTTTTTGAGGGAATGCCATTACATTGGTGGGAGTGATGATAACGCAAATTCTGATTAGCGTTTTACGATCTGCACAGTAGAAGGAAGTACCATTCGTCGAATGGTAGGTACTCCCGGTGAAATCTAAATTAAACTAAGTACAATATAACAGATTGTTTTGTATTTTTTTGTGAATTTATACTCGTAATTAACGTTTTGGTTTTTATCTTGTAAATAATTTTCCTCATTTCCTTTCTGTGGGCCTAATTCCTTCAAGCATAACTCTTATATATCCATCGAAAACACGGATCATTTTACAGTCACTTACTAACCTTGTTGTTGTGCCGTTAAACCCTTATTTAGAGTTCACATAACCTTAAATGGTAAGTTACTTTGTATCATAGGGTAAAATACTGGTGTATTGTACATTGTTCTCCAACTTTGTATAGTCGGTCTATGATTGTTGTAATACTTAAGTAAATTTACGTCTCGTGATCTGTTTTTTTTTCTGTAGACTGGATTAATAAATAAGTCTTTTACATAAATTAATGTGTCTGTTGAAATATGAGTTTACATTTTCCGAAAACCTTTCTTATTACGCTAAAATACAATACCGATTTCCCTCGAAGGGGCTAATTTCCC